TTGCTTACAAAGGAAGGCATAAGGTTAAAGCAATTTTCTGTGTTTACAATTTTACAGTTATTTCCCCTCTTCCCCACCCCACCCCTTCTCTCTCTCTCTCTCTCTTTCTCTCTATCTCTGAATTTTTGTTGATCAGAATCACAGCGTATGCCTAACACTACTAGCTAGACCCTTAATACGCAGAAAAATGAAGAAGAGGTGGGGGTGGGGGATTGCAATTATTCTTCTTTATTTCCTGAGAGGACTCTTTTGACGTTATTTTTCTTGTGAGTGTGGACTTTTTTACACTTAAATGCCTACCCCCTCCCCAGTGTTTTGTTGTACACATGTAGTATGCTGGAACCATCTTCAGTTAGTGAAATGAAAATATTTTTATGGCAATAAATGGAGTTTAACCCCTCTCCCCCCACCATGACAACCATCACGATTTACGAATTTCGGTTTTGGTGAAATAAGCGTTCCACCCACCCCCATCCCTTTTATTTTATTGGTTTATCAGATTTTTTTAAAATACTTTTTTACTTTGTCTCTGGATTATTTTATACACCCTCCTCTTTTAAAAATGTTGTTACGGCGGGTCTGATAAAAATATCTTATAATGAAATTGTATGCTTTGCTCTATCTTTAATTATAGGCTAAACAGTATATACCCTCTAAACCGACTAAATGGGGATTAAAAGTTTGGCTCAGGTGCGACAGTCTGTCTGGATTTTGCCATCAGCTTGACTTGTATCTTGGAAAAGACCAATATAGGGGTGTTCCTGTTGGCCAGACAGTCGTCTTTAAACTAACAGAAGAGCTACAGGGCAAAAACCATCAAGTTTTCTTCGACAGCTTTTTTACTTCAGTCGAACTTGCAAAGGGTTTACTCGCCAAAAAGATCTTCTGTTGTGGAACGATAGTGAGAAATAGAAAGGGGTTTCCCAGCGACCTGAAGTCAGTAACGCCAAGGTTCCAGGGAGATTATGTAATAAGGTAAATACCTGAAAATATATTGAAATGCAGTTTTGGAGCTGACAATTGTAGACTTTTTAAAAGTAACACTACCCTTGTGAAATATGTGACTAATATAAATTTCTTTTTCGTTATAGACAAGACGGCCAATTAACAGCAACTGTGTGAATGGACTACCGACCCGTGTCGGTTTTGTCGACAATGACATCGCCACTGGAGATGGCTACTAACGTTTCCAGGCGTCTGAAAGATGGTTCAGCTGTGTCCGTTCCCCGACCCCAAAGTATCGGGCATTACCAGTCATATTTTTAAGGGGAGTTGATTTATTTGACCAGTTGCGTTCTAAATATCCAGTCGGCAGGGCGAGCAAAAAGTGGTGGAAATATGTACTTCACTTCCTCATCAACACTGCCATCATTAACGCCTTTATTCTTACGAAAGAATGTCGACCTCAGCTTCCCAAAAAGAAGTACAGACAACTGGACTTTAGAATCTCGTTGGCTCAGCAACTGATCGGGTCTTTCACAACACCATTAAGGGCAGCAGGAAGACGCGCCTTACACACGTCGACATGTCACAGTTTCTCAAAACTAGTGAAGAAGAGATCATATTGCAAACAATGTTCGAAGTAGACGCCGAGAAAGAGGAAGGACACTGCATATGGTTGCAGTCTTTGTGATATTCATTTATGCGGGAAACAATGTTTCTCATTATTTCATGGATTCTTAGCGACTGAGGAATAATTCAGTGTTTTGAAAAATAGTTATTGGGTGATAGGATGGGAGGGGGGTGGGGTCTGTTATACAATGTTAGCTGATCCCAGTTATCTGATTGTAAGCAAGTATTTGAAATTATAATTAATCAACTTTTTATGAAGTGTGGATGATATGTGTAACGTAAAATGTTTCAGTTATAAAAACACACATGCTTTAACAGTTGAATACCCTTGTTGTTTTGTTTGTTTGTTTGTTTGTTTGTTTTTTTTTTTTTATTAATTCTGTACCGTAGGTTAAATACATTTATAAACATTTTTGATACCATACAATGATTTGAATTTGTTTTTTTATTATAGTACCAATGGTAACCAAGTTTCCCACACTGTCCACACATTGTTTTGAAACACCGTAATTTTATTGTAATAAAATCTGAATAACCATTCGAATAGCAATAAGAATTGCAATTAAACTTAATCATCACGCAAATAAAACATGTATCCTTGTACCGAAAAAAAAATATTTTGAAAAAATAGAATAAAAGCTCAGAGAAAAGGAAAACTAGAATGCAACTATAATGCACGGATCAACATCCGCGCCTATTACAAAATCGAACCCGGGGAGTAGTATAATAATTAGAAAGTAGGCCTATAATCAATACGAATTAAGGCATAACGATTCAGTACGTATACAGATTTAATTTTACAAAGATAACACATACTTAAGTATGAAATAAAAGAAACATAAAGCATTGATTTGAGAATTAAAACTGAATAAGAAACTTTTTCAGTTGCCGATTATATCAACAATAAGTTCCTTTATTTTACGCAAATATTACTGTGTAGCTTCAGGTGCGTGCGGGGATAAGGATAAGGTCGTTCCTTTATGACGCAACGTCAAGTTGTTTTTTACGTCACAAACGTAAAAGGGGCAAAGAGTTAATTAACCAACCCTTGAAATCCTTTCATGCAAAAGACATCTCAAACAATAAAAAACGTTTATTAAGGCATCGTTTGAAACAAAATTCCAGTTTCCACGATGCTCTTTCATATTCAATATTATACTGAAATGTAACCCTGTAATTCTTTTTTACACTGTCGACATGTTTTGTTCAATCTGAACCTAAGATACTAGTATAAATTGTCTACGTCATTTGTACAAGAAAAAAATTGAAAGAAAAGTGGGTCGTTAAAAAATTCGTACTTGTCTTTTTGAAATATTTTTATTTCTGTTTTATCAATAAAATTTGCTCTATGTCATTTATTTTAGATCACTTATGACATAAATTTTTATCGTTAATAGAAATTTTATCAGAAAGGTAATAGGTACAGCCTTTTAGTGGTTTGTAATTACATGTTAGAATGGAATTCCGATTGTTATTCAACTCTTGACATCCGACTAAAACTTTTTTTTTTATTTTTTTTTGCTCAATTTTATGCTAGATTTACGTTCTGATTCTTTAAGACACATATAACAAGAATATACAGGAATTAATTACATTAAATAAAATGTACTAATTAAGGAAGCTCTAAACACTGCACACTAAAAAGTGCTACTTGTAGGATAGTTTTATGCAGTTAGAGTGATCTGCCCTTAGAAGTAAGATAGAAAAAAAATGGCTATTACAGTTAGTTACACAAATTGTAATAGATTAAACTGTTCTAACATTATATTATACCAAGAATAAGTAATTGAATTCATGATTTTCATTAATTTTCCCAATGTAAGTAAACAACAGTGATTTCTGTTCACGAATAGTCCATTGTCTTTGAACATTTTTCCTACCGAAATAAGGCAGGTGCCCTATGTTGTAAATGAATTAAATAGTCTCAATATGCACACTTTTATATATGATATGCTTTTCTCCAAGTCCAAAAAGCACTTTTTGTTAGTGTTTAGAGCTTCCTTAAGAAAAATTAAAACTTTCTGGTCTAATAAAGTTTAAATTCCATATCCACATCTAAATTTGAAGTTAAAAAAAATAATGGTGATATGTTATTACCTGCTTATTATCAAGTTAATTTTATGAAATCAGTTTAATTTTTAATCTTCCCTTACCCTTGAAGATCAAAGTTTTCATTTTCGTTACTTTTTTTAAAGCCATATATTTATGAATTTACTTCATGAAAGCAAAAACTTGTGGATTTCATTGAAATTGACTGAAGAACTTATGGTTTGTTTTAATTACATTGCTATGATATCACACGTTTTATCTATTTATGTATTTCAAGATCAAATGTACCCAGTACTGGCCAGATGCAAACAAACACATCAACTATGGAACTGTGTCTGTGAAAGTGCTCGAGAAAAAAGAATACGCATTCTACCTTGTACGCAAAATGACTGTTATCCATAAAGAGGTTGGTACTTTACCAAAACCAATATCTATTTGTATTGTATATCTTATTACGCAGATTTTGCAATCCGAGAAGTAACTTTTTTTATGCTCCGACACTTCCACGATATATTGAATTATAAGGAGGGATGTTTTTGAAAGGGAAAATTGTATAATATTTGGTACTTCACCACATTTCTGTAAATACATGTATCATGTTATAAAAATGTCATTATATTTTGTTGAAGCAAACACTCATAATTTTCCAGGGATTAATTTTCTATTGTAAAATTGTAAAATTTCCAGCAATCTTTAATTAGGTAATCAATATCCATCTTTCATTTAAGGATAATAATATTTAAATGATGACAATAAATGTAATACGAATTTTATAAAATTGGAATCGCATTTGTGTGTTTGTGTGTGCGTGTGTGTGTGTCCAATTCTTTTTTAATTTCCTTAAGATTTTTATGCATGAATGTATACATGTACTTAGTGTTTTAAAAAAAATTGAATCCTTAAGAAAAAAAAACTCAAGAGCTCACCACATTTAACATTGTAATGAATTAAAATGAAAAGTCCTACTTTGCTATAATATTAAGTAACCTTCAATGTACAAGTATACTAGTATTTGATATTCAAAACATTTATATTAGCACTGCTTAATTACATTGTCAGACAAAGAAGTCACGTGTGGTGACCCAGTATCATTATACTTCGTGGCCAGACCACGGAACCCCGGATCCTCTATGTCTTGTTGTCTTCCTTGATCACGTGACCAGAACAGCAACCACTCAGAATGATTCCCGTACTGTTGTGCATTGCAGGTGCATTCTAATTTAGATGAAAATGTTTTATTTATAAGTTTTTCATCTAAATTAGAATTGTTGATATGCACGAAATGAAAATGATTTAAAATATACATATGAAAATATGATATTACTAGATGCGTGTACATTAAAAGTTTGATAAGCATAGATATATCTTCTGGGTTATAGTGCTGGTATAGGAAGAACGGGAACGTATATAGCAATAGACGCCCTGAACCAGATAGGAAGAAAGACGGGGAAAGTAAACGTAGCGGAATATGTCAAGAAGATGAGAGAAAACAGAATGAATATGGTCCAGACATACGTGAGTCTATAACACTGAAATAACAGTCTATGTCAATGTTTTGCAAAATAACAATACCTTAATAGAGTCGCTGTGTAAAAACAATAGTAAATTACAATCGTCTTGAAAGAGTGATCCATGTGAAATAAAACCACTGAAGAATTCTATTTCAATTTTTATTTAAATAGCAGTCAATTGTAACCATGCAAAACAAGCAGTCTGTTTAAATTAACAATTATAATGAAAACGAAACACTTTCTTAGCCTTCTTTAACAGCCTATTCCCCCTCCTCAAAGCAACAGTCTTTATGTAATAAACAGTCTATGTATTAAAAAAGTACATAGTACTGAAACAGTCTTACCATTTCAACTCTCCTAGAGTAAAATATTGTATTGAAAAATACTAGAATAAAAGGTAATGTATGTCACCAACACTAACTAATGTCGCTGTATGGGAAAATTGAGTGCAGTATTGCTCGTGATTTTAGTAAATTTTATTTACCATACCAGGCGCTACAGAACCGATAGCTTTTATTTGCTTTCTCTTATTTTTTTTTCACATGAAATCGCTATACTTATGTAAAATATACTCAATGTTTCAGGAACAGTATATAACTATATTTCTTGCGTTAAACGAAATATACAAATCTCCTGTGAATGTAAACACAATTGAAGAATTTACTAAGAAGGCGCACTCTCTCTCCATGGACAAACCAGCTAATCAGAGCGAACTGCATAAAGAATTCCAGGTACTGAGTGAAAGAATTTCAAACAAGAATAACTGTTTTACTGAATTATTTTTTCATTACTTGAGTGATGCAAGTCACTGAATTGTCAGAGGTAGTACAAGTTGTTGGAAAGATGAATGAGGGAGAGATCTAGAGAGATAAGGGTAGGGAGTGACCGAGTGAGTTAGTACGAAAGGCGGATAAGCTCATTTTTGACAAGATAAAAAATATTTAACTCGTTATAACGAGGTAATTATCTCGTTATAACGAGTTAGTTATCTCGTTATAACAATCTAGTATCTCGTTATAACTAATTAGTATCTCGTTATAACGAGTTAGTATCTCGTTATAACGAGATACTAACTTGTTATAACGAGATAACTAACTCGTTATAACGAGATACTAACTTGTTATAACGAGATAACTAACTCGTTATAACGAGACACTAACTTGTTATAACGAGATAATTAATTCGTTATAACGAGATAACTAACTCGTTACAACGAGATACTAACTTGTTATAACGAGATAACTAACTCGTTATAACGAGATACTAACTTGTTATAACGAGATAACTAACTCGTTATAACGAGATAACTAACTCGTTATAATGAGATATTAACTCGTTATAACGAGATAACTAACTCGTTATAACGAGATATCTAACTCGTTATAACGACCTAATTATCTCGTTATAACGAAATATTTACGCGTTTTAACGAGATACTAGCTTGTTACAACGAAATAACTAACTCGTTATAACGAGATAACTTAGTCGTTATACATGTAACGAGATACTAAGTCGTTATAACGAGATACCTAACTCGTTATAACGATTTAATTATCCCTTTATAGGGAGATACTAACTCATTATAACGAGATAACTAACTCGTTATAACCTGATAAAAACTCGTTTTAACGAGATAACTAAGTCGTTATAACGAGATATTAACTCGTTATAACGAGATACATGAAACTATCTCGTTATAACGAGATACTAATTCGTTATAACGAGATAACTAACTCGTTAGAACGAGATAACTAACTTGTTATAACGAGATACTTACTCGTTATAACGAGATATTCACTCGTTATAACGAGGTAACTAACTCGCTATAACGAAATATTAACTCGTTATAACGAGATAACTAACTCGTTATAACGACTTAATTATCTCGTTATAACGAGATACTAACTCGTTATAACGAGATAACTAACTCGTTATAACGAGATACATGTAACTAACTCGTTATAACGACTTATTTATCTCGTTATAACGAGATACTAATTCGTTATAACGAGATAACTAACTCGTTAGAACGAGATAACTAACTCGTTATAACGAGATATTTACTCGTTATAACGAGATACTAACTCGTTATAACGAGATAACTAACTCGTTATAACGAAATAACTTACTCATTATAAGGACTTAATTATCTCCTTATAACGAGATACTAACTCGTTATAACGAGATAATAAAATCGTTATAACGAGATAATAAAATCGTTATAACGAGTTAAATATTTTTTTATCTTGTCAAAAATGAGCCTATCCGCTTTCGTAAGTTAGTGAGAGAGTAAGGAGAAAGTGAGTGAGTTAGCGAGTGAGTAAGGAGAAAGTGAGTGAGTTGGCAAATGAGTAAGGAGAAAGTGAGTGAGTTAGCGAGTGAGTAACCAGAAAGTTAGTGAGTTAGCGAGTAAGGAGAAAGTGAGTGAATAAGTTAGCGAGTGAGTAAGGAGAACGTTAGTGAGTGAGTTAGTAAGGAGAAAGTAAGTGAATGACTTAGCGAGTGAGTGAATGAGTTATTTAACTTATATAGCTTGTGAATGAGTGAGTGATGAGATATTTATTGAGGTAATGAGGCACATTGACAAGCAGGTAGGCAGAGAGTGGTTCATATTGACCAAGTGTCAAATTGATTGGGTACAATATTGGGGGCAGGGAGGGTTGTGAAGAAGGCAGTCTGCCAGCGTTAGTGCATATACTGATCGGGTAAGTGAGTCGGTGGGAGTAACCCAACAGTTTAAGTGAGTTTGTAAGTGTTTTAACGAATATTAAAGATTAAATTTGATAAATCTATATCCAACCAGGGCAATTTTTAATTGTTTAATTCTACAAATATACTCATTAATGTCCTCATCTTTGTAGCTTTTGATGAAAGTACGACCAACATATGCGGACTCTGATTACAAAATAGCTATAGAAGGATGTGGCGGTGCACATACGAATAGTATACTACCTTGTTAGTATCCAGTCTAACCATCTGATTGTCTTCATAATTATTTTAGTTTATATTCAAATAGACTGAATAATTTTAATACAATTTTAACATTTTACATCTAGAATGGGAAAAAAAAGATTCGTTTTTTTTTTTTTTAAATCCTTTTTCAAAAGTTAACAACATATTGATTGATTCTTTTAATAGTTTTTTTTCTGTTTCACTAACAAGTGGATAAATACAGTGTCCATCTCTCCTCTGTGGTGTCAAACAGAGGAAGCTTCATCAACGCAATATATGTACCGGTAAGGAAATACCCGGTATACGTATTGTACCGATGATGATCAAAGAACATTTATAAAGAAAATTAAATTCTACACATAATATATATATAACAATTTCATTCACAATTCTTTTATTACATATCATTAATTGTATCATGGATAAAAATCTGAGGCAAAAGATCTTCCGCTTTCTCGATTTGAAGGGAAAAAAATGATATGTTACAGTCTTGACTTCTGTAATTGTAGTCATATACCAACAGCCGGGCGTTTTTAGTGACGAAGTATCCACCGACAGAGGACGCTGTTGACTTCCTGCGCCTGCTCAATGATTACGAATCTGATACTGTAATTTGTGTGGACCCACTTAATGAGATTGGATCGGTAGGTAATTTAAATTTTCAAAACGTATAACTTACGCACTAAAGGAAAAGAAAATACTAGTAATGCTTACCTTAAACTTTCGATTCTCTCATTCATTAAAATCTTAATCAAGTTTATACAGACTTTATTAATGAGTATTTATTAATGAATAATTACGATTTGTTAAATCAATAAATAACTTCAAGGAACAAAATAAACAGAACATTTTCTTTTTACTTGAAGTATTTGAGAAATATTTCAAAATATGTAGGTATGTATACGAATTACTGTTTGGAACTGTGACAGCTGAACATTCTATATGTATCAAGTTAATGTTAGTGTACTTCAGTTTTCCTTCGTTCTAGAGTACGACATGGTTACCAAGTCCCTCCTCTTCCAAGGTAGTCTCTCCTTTCTCTGTTCACTATCAGCAGAATCAGTTAAGGACCGGAAATGACGTTGAAAGCACTATAATTCACCTCCTTCAGAATACTGTGAGTAGTTTTCACTGATGATGATTCATACGTATATGTGATTTCTGTCTTGTATACCTCTATATCATAATTAAATCAGATAACAATGTCAATGATTTTTTTTACCAACCAAAATGAAATCGAATGAAACTTTTCATATACTTGTAGGACATGATACTGCGCATTTTGTATGAATGTAATTATTTATTCATAAAATATGTTCAAAAATAAGAAATTGATATGTTTCACTTGAATTTACACTCCTTTTATGCTCTATGGTGTTACATTTTTCTAATATTAGTCTGAGGAGGAGGCTCATTCAATAACGATAATTGAACCGAAAACCGCCATCAAAACATCCGGAAACCCTCAAGACACATCCCAGCTTAGAGGCCTGGTATCTGTCGCCCTGAGTTCTGAGAATGAAAAACCGATTACAGTTGTCAGCAAGTAATCCATTTATATTGTTATATTTGATATATATCATTATCATTCATTTATTTTACTTTATTGTAAGAAAAACTCATCAATTTGTTTACACAGAATGCAAATGGAGTGCATGGCAATATATCTGTAATCCCTGACCCTTGCAAAGCATTCAATATGCAAATGTTTGTATTTTACCATCAGATAATAAATGTATATAGGACATTTTTATCCATAGTTTGGATATTGAGTTTCACTTAGAAACAAGAATACACCATTCTGGGCTTTTGATAGAAAGATGCTCTTTGCAATTAAATTTTATGAAGTTTTCTAAAGGAGATGGGTGAACAAGCCGCGCAGAATGCCTATAGCTTCAGATATATATATATATATATATATATATATATATATATATATATATATATATAAATCATAATCAGTTTATGAATTTAGTATTTAGAGTAAAGTTCTCATTATTGAAATATTTGAAATTATGATAAACAGAACATTTCTGAGGAAAATTTTCTTGGCAAAAATTATTCTGTTTTTTAGAAAATATGGGATTCGAAGGGTTCGAACCCTAGCAATAAAAAAAAAACTGGGTATCATTTACCTTTGAGACTAACACGCTAACCACTACACTACATAGATCCTGATGAGTGGTGACATTTAAATCATGTTTGTGATATGACCCTTGACTAAATGGACTTCAAGTATTTCTCGGAAACATGCGAACATTGTGTCATCCCTAACAAAAAAAAAATACTATAGTAAACTATAGTTAACTATAGTTAATCAAAGTTCCAAAGTCTTCACTATAGTAAATCAAAGTTCCAAAGTTTTCACTATAGTAAATCAAAATTCCAAAGTTTTTCACTATAGTAATTCAAAGTTCCAAAGTTTTTACAATAGTAAATCAAAGTTCCAAAGTTTTCACTATAGTTAATCAAAGTTTCAAAGTTTTCACTATAGTAAATCAAAGTTCCAAAGTTTTCACTATAGTAAATCAAAATTCCAAAGTTTTTCACTATAGTAATTCAAAGTTCCAAAGTTTTTACAATAGTAAATCAAAGTTCCAAAGTTTTCACTATAGTTAATCAAAGTTTCAAAGTTTTCACTATAGTTAATCAAAGTTTCAAAGTTTTCACTATAGTAAATCAAAGTTCCAGAGTTTTCACTATATAAATCAAAATTCCAAAGTTTTTACTAAAGTTAATCAAAGTTTCATATCAACGTTTCAAAGTTTTCACAATAGTATATCAACTTATTAAAGTATTTTAATAATTTTATGCTTATTTTGTCGCTTTTTAGGGTGGGCGTGGGGTTGTGTGGGTGCTGGGGGTTGTTGTACATGTTAATTCAAATTTACAAATTAGTAAACTCAAATGCAATATTAACATTTATCAATGTAAAAATACATGTTTACTGAAGTTGATGGAGCAGGTATTTTGGTTAGAAAATGGCGCAAATTTTATTTTTTCACTTTCCATTCTCCATCAAAAAAAATACACTATATCTGCATTTTATTAAATACATTTAAATACATGCTGCTCATCTATCGGCGCGAAAGATAACCTTATATTAAAATTCATTTCTTGTACATTAATTTTTCAGGGGAGGGCCATGTTTATGAGAAGTTCTGTGAAGCTTTTTAAAAATCTGACCACAAAATATCATGAAATGGCAAGAATGGGAATCAGAAACATAATTCCACGGGTTTTACTCTATCAAATCGAATTTCAAAGTTTTTACTATACTTTATCAAAGTTCCAAAGATTTTATTAAAGTAAATCAAAGTTTCAAAGTTTTTACGATAGGAAATCAAAGTTCCAATGTTTTCACTATTGTAAATCAAAGTTCCAAAGTTTTTACTATAGTAAATCAAAGTTCAAACGTTTTCACTATAGTTAATCAAAGTTCCAAAGTTTTCACTATAGTAAATCAAAGTTCCAAAGTTTTTGCTATAGTAAATCAAAGTTCCAAAGTTTTTACTTTGATACTATAGTTAACTATAGTAAACTATAGTTAACTATAGTTTACTTTAGTATTCTATTGTTAGGGATAAAAGTGTATTTTTAAGGTATAGTGGGTCTTTGCTACATGTTTTTGTTAACCAAAAAATGTATATTTTTACGCAAACTTTGAGGATAAACTTTCAAAAATATGGAGCGAAGACTCCCTCATATCGAAAAATTGTGTTATAGTGTGGTCCTTTTTGTCCTCTTTAGTGTGTTTATGTTATTTCATAGGCAAATAATTTCAATCCTTGTGAGGTTCTTGCAAATTGTGGAGATTTTACATAACGTATACTTTAATTTTAGATGAAATTTCAAAGAAAATGTTAATATAATTTAGATTTCATTTTTCACCTTCATGTTTATCGCACTATATGCATTGCGCTCGCCATGCTCGCCCATCTTCTTTATCTCCCTTTTCCAATGCTAAAATGTGCATTATCTAATATGAATTGTCATAACTCACCAACTGAGAGGTGAATATTTGACATTAACTAAAACATGCCAAAGCCTAATCAAATAATATTTAACATTTTGTTGTTATCTCGTTTCTTTGATTTCACTGATGGCCAGTATGTATCGCCGAGAATGTCACGCCTTACTAAAAATTGAAGCAGAAAAGAGAATTGCCTTATTTTTCTCTGCGTCCATGTGTCAAATCCTACAATACGTATTTGTGAGTTGTATCCTTATTTCCTTGCTTAAATTGTATTTTTTTTTCCTTGCAACAGAGATGGTGCATCCCTCTGTGGTGTTTTCTGTGCCGTTCATAACGTGATACAACAAATAAACATGGACGACGGCGTGGATGTCTTTACAGCCGTCAGACAGCTTCAAGTTAGAAAACCAGAGTTCTGTGCTAATTTTGTAAGTTACATGCAGTGAATTAGATGCAATGGTGACTTTATAGGTAGATTATAATGATTCAAAGCTTGTAAATTCCCTTCCCTATTGAAGACATAAATTTATTTTAAATAATTACTGTATCTGGAATAAACGAACAAAATTGAAAACAAAATGAAAACAGATACAAAACGCATGAACTCTTTTTATGGAAAGAAATGTGCTATATTCATCTGCAAGTTTATATAGCCATACATTCGGTGTAACAAGTATATTTATATTGTCATTTTATTTTCAGGATGAGTATGGTCTGGTCTTTAGATCCGTATGTGATCACATACAAAGTGCTACAGAAAACATTTATAGCAATCAGTAAAATGGTGGATCCAGAAGTAGCGAACCTTTAATATATTTTAGAATTAATTTCATTAAAAATCCCTCTATTATTGGCATTCAAGGAAACAAAGAAACAGTGTGGGAACATTTGGAAAAAAGCGAGAAATTGACTAAAGTGTTCAATACATGATCACTTACCTTTAACCCCCACCCCTTCCTCCAATATCTTGATGCTACTACTGAAAAAAAAAAACACTGTGAAGAGCACAATTATCAGCAGGCGAGCAAAAAGTTCTTCAGAGATTGTGTAAAAACAACTCAAAGACGTTAGAAAATTTCTTTCCTCCTATCTGCATTTGGGAGACACTCGATCTTTCTCTCTTTGAACAAAAGAATCCCTCAGGATCAAACCTCTCTTCCTACACCTCATGCCCTCATGATTCGCAGAGAGCGCCTTGTATTTTATATGAGACTAAGATTTGAATGCAATTTATTTTAAAATTAATGTTCATATCTTAAAGGAGAAGTTACTGACAGCCCATATTGCGAGTGGTACATGTAAGCCCGATACAACTGACCTTTTTCTTACTATACTGTCCTATGTATGAAAGTCTAAGACAGCATTTCTTGGATCTTCTTGTGTATATATACTAGACATTTGAATAATGGTGCCTTATTTAAGCCATCCGAATTTATCTTCATTTTGATATTTTTGTGTACAGAAAAAATGAGAAAATATTTTCATATCACGACTGATTCATCGTTTCATCCTTTCTTCCAAAGGTCTCAAGTACAGGAACATATCGCATTCTTGACAAATGTTTCTCTTTTTTTTTTCTCCTACGGTCAGATATATTACATAGTGTGAATACTGTGAAGCAGGGGAACTGTATGTTGTTATATATTGATTGTAATATATCACAAAGAAACGGATTTACGGATTATATTATAAGTTTATCAAACGAGTCCTAGTTTATTTCTGTATATTATGCTTTAGTCTAATAAAGATATTGTATACAAGTTGAAGCGTCGGTTCAGTTTCAGTTTAATATTTCTTTCGTATTTTGAATTAAACTATCAGCCCCCCTAAACAGATACAAGTTCTATTTGTAAATTAAAACGCCTTTCAAACTCATATTCATTTTGTAATTGTTCATATTCAAAGTAATATTCATTATATAGTCTTTTAAAAATTAAAATAGCTAGAATTGCGTAATCCCCTCCCCTTCCCCTTTCCTAGAGTTTTCAAGGTGCAAAAAAAATACAAAGAAAGAAAGAATGTGAAATTAAAAAAAACAAAAACAAAAACAAACAAACAAACAAAAACCAAAAATAAATAAATAAAAGAAAAAAAAAAAAAAATACCAACCAACAAAAAAAGAAAAACATAACAAACCAAAAAAAAATCGATATTTATTGTCATGTCTAACAGAAAGTATTGTTAGCAAAGATTATGATTTCTTTTCAAATATAATTATACTATATATAGAATCTGATTTACAGACTCACTTTTATTGACACGGTGTTACATGCAAGATGTTAATATTATTTATGAATAAAAAAAAATAATGTTAATTTTTTTTCTTTAAAATCTTAAATCTCGTTAATATTTCAGCATGCCATCATACATTTAAAAATGTAATTTAATAAATTTAAAGTTCATCGCTGATAAAACTATAATTGACTCATCCTATCTCATCTCTCTCTCTCTCGATCGATCGATCGATCGACCGTCTTTAACTCTTATTAGTTTTTAAGAGAGAAAAAAAAGATTTTTTGTCCGTTCTTTTTTATTCCTACATATACGTCCGTATTGTAACCAATGATTTCAAGATAAAGCGGATTAGAAGCTGATAAAAAAAGTTACAAAAATGGTTCGGATTTAGTTAACTTATTGTTAATTTCTGTATTGGATGTACATGTACCTACCTATATATAGTCCTTGTTGCACCCGGAGGCACATAGGGCAACTATATTGGGTGGATGTATTCCTGTTTTGCACACATCTGATTATTAGGTGTAGAACAATAGGTGTGAAATATGTTTTGATAGCAATTATAGTCTGATCTCTGTCTGGGATTTTCCTGGAATTACCTGTGTTTTACCAATGCATTAAAATATATATTTAAAAGAATAAATTTTGAAAATTTTACTTGTCCAATCCAACTGAAGTTGATAAATCAGACAAATATCCTTATTGCAGCCCCCCCCCCTCCACCTTTTTTTTTTTTATTTTATGAAGATAAAATAAATGAGTTAATGAATATTCAATCTTAATAATAAAAATTAACATGTCCAGTTAGTATCATATGAATGTACATTGCAATTACAGTTTTTGGTTAGTATAAATAATAGGGGCTAGGGGGCTGATGGGGGTAACGTGTTTGCAATCTTTACGTGTGACATTTATAAGGTCTCAGAGGATACTTCAGTCCTCAAAATAGCTAATGATAGTTAGTTGTTTTTTTTTTTAAATTAAAAATGATAACTACATTTTGTAAATTTTCTTTTTTCTTTCTTTCTTTTTATTTATTTATTTATTTATTTATTTATTTATGTGAACGTACACATACATACATCATGATAAAGTACCAAACAACACCTAAATCATAAAAAAAAAAAAAAACACTGTTCAATGTCTTGTTTATTAATTTTAAACTCTAATACACCCCCCCCCCTTTCTATTCCATTACATCGCCACCTTTTTTCTTACTACATCCATAAGTCTATCACTGACAATGTGACAATAGATATCCGAACATTGGAAAGTGCTATATTTATGCTCAAATTAAATGTTTTGTTCTGTCTGAAGAATTGACCGACTCGATCCGTGATTTCCGACTTGTATTTCGGGAAATTAATATTTCTCCGATTTGGGATCTAAACAATACGTTTACCAAGGAAGCCGCGCATGCGTTATCGGAAACCGCGGCATGTACGAGACAGAAAGTAAACAACCGAATTCTAAGGATGTTTTCTGGACAAAGATTGGTAAGTATGTGTTGAATGACAAAAGAATATTTAAATTAATTATGTGGAATTTTCATTTAAGGAATGTGAGAAGCATTTAAAGTTTGACTGACTGCAGACGACATTTTTAAAAGCTTGTCACAACATGCTTCACAGCTCTGGTATTTCTGCATCTATCACTGTCAATATTTTTTGGCACTTTTTATCTCCATTCATTTCCTACGTTAAAACTGAAAGCAAAAGAATATGTATCAATTAAATTAAAATATAGCTAGCTGCATTCGAAGGAGGTTTAATTAAAAAAAAATGTTAAGAATAAACAAATCAGTTTTCACCTGTTCTCTGCATTTTTTTTTTTAAACTGTCTGTTGACACAATGAATTAGGAATGATGTAAAATCTCTTGTTTGACGCTGCAAATTTTACAAAACTGACCACAGTACAATTATACATGAAATGTAATTGTGTTGTTTTCTGGAACGGATAAATGGTTAAAGCAATATAAATCTTCTCGTTTCTAGATAGAATGTTCTATCAATAAAATGATAATGTCCTTATAAGCACCTGGCTTAAGGATAGAATGCATTCTGTGTATTGGCAATGTAGCAAAACAAACATGGGAATATAACTCGAACTCAGTGCATATTCTATTAACAATCCAGAGAGTTCCGAATCAACACGGAATGTAAATTTGAAGCAAGTAAAAACGTTGAGAAAAAATGTTTAATTTGAATATATGGATTAATTTTTGGATGTAAAGTATCCACAGTCTCAAAAAGGTCTGTCATGATTAATTTGACAACGCAATGCAACTTCATTTATTTTCTTCAAAATCATTTCATTGTGATTCTGCAATTTTCTGCTACATTGTGGGTATATGGGAGGCATTCTAACTGTGGTGAGGGCCTTTCCCAACTGGCCAAGACACAGTTAGATTATTCTAACTATTCTCATCTTACATACTTTGTCTATACTTTTGATCAGAGAATATCAGATATCTGTCCAGACCTACTTCTCTGTATAATTTGCATTGTTGTATTTCTAGATCCAAGAAAAAAGAATGGTGAGGACGCTGTTGTTCCAGGTGAGTCCAGACCTTTTTTTCAGGTAGGCCAAAAAAAATTAGCGTGTACTGATATATCTGACCCATATTTATTTACGTCCATGATGCATTTATGTACAGTAAGCTCATCGACAATATTGTGATATCTGTAATTGTTTTCAAAATCAGTGAAGTATTTATTAATAAATATCTTAAATGGCTGGAAATAAATTAATGATTAATTACAAAATGTCACTGGTCATTTATCAGATATGTGTTACATCACTAATTAAATTTATATGATCCCATGTCGATTCCTCTTGATATTCATAACACTTTCAGGATTGCTACTGTGAAAACAGCTTTACAAGGGACAATTCGTAACATTTTCCTCTCTTGTTAATTTTAAAAGGATGATTTAATGATTCAATAAATGATATGAAACAGCAACGAACACAAATTTCTTCTGGAAAAAATAAGTTTTCCGAAAAAAAGTGTAGGGTGGAAAAAAATAGGTTGGGTCAGATAACCGGAAACACGTATATATTTTTTGGCCTTAAAACAATTTATACGCATTCCAAAAGAAAATGTGGAAACTTCCTTGATTAGTCAAAGTGTTAATATTGAAATTGCAACATTTCAAATTGCACAGTACTGAATAGATTTATCGTGATTGATGAGTGAATTGAAATTTTAATTAAATTACAATTTGTACAGTCCTTTTAAAAAAAGACTTGTAGACATTCTAGAAATATTTGAGATAAAAGAATTAAAATCAAAATAAATTTATTGTTTGAATTTTATTGCACATTTAACTTATACATTTTTTATTTAAACTTAGCTACTTTTTTTTCTTTGACATGTGTTTAATGTAAAAGTATTGGCCTATAAAATTAAAATTATATTTGTTACTCCTTTGCAACTGAAAATATGCTTCCACAAAAAAAGATTTTAGTCCTGTGTCAATGACAAAGGCTTAATTGTATGAAGTATCATGTTTCTTGATGTTTTAGGAGTGACTGCACCAGGTAATCGCCGTCCACACAGACCTAAGAAAATGAAGTCGAATCAAGTGAAATCAGGTCGCAAAACCACAGAGGTCAAGGCCACAATACCTGTCAAATCTCCAGTCAAGGTCATGAACTTATCAGCTGATGCCACCACAATAACACAGGATGTAAGTTATATTCTCATATTGACCATGTAATGGTTCATTTAAATTCAGGGGAAAAAATCTTTTCTTTTAATTAATCATATAGGTTTTTTTTTTAACTTTGAAAGAGAAGACTTAATAAATGATTTTTAAAAATGTAGAGACACATGCTATATATTGTAAGGTATTTATAATCCAGCAGGAATATGTTGGAAAGTAAATGCATATGAACTAATTCAGCATGTTAAGAAGAATGTTTTCATTCATGGAGGCCAACTTTGTTGGTTTGCTTCATTTTTACAGAATTTTCATGATTTCAGATGCTGTTGAATTTTTTAGGCAATCATCTTATTAAAGAATGAAAAATATTGCCTAATGATTATAAACTTTTAAATTAGACTATCTTTTCTGATCTCTGCTAATATTTGATGAATATTTGGGATCTGACAAGAATACAATAAAATAAAAGATTTTCTTGTAACTGTGAGCAGTGAAAAATGAAAAATGTCAGGTATATGATGATGTGAATTTTATTTTAGTTAACAGTTGAAAGTCTTCAAGAACAGCCACACAAGCATTTCCGAGGCAATATGAAGAAAGTTTCGCTGAAAGACCTGTGTGCAGATGACAAGAAGCGTGTCGCTAACCTCATAAAGGAACTAGCCAAGTAAGTCAGATTGCCAATTTTAACAATGAACTACTCAATAGGGAGATTGAGCTTATAGTGCAGAAAAACTTTGAAAAAAGGTTAGCTTATGTCGTATGAATTTAGAATACTGTAGATCACTTAATTTTCTGGCCACCTAATTTTTGCGAGATTGTTATTTGTTATGTATAAGCGAGGTAAAATTTTCACAAATTTCGGTCATTGCTCTGTTTAATCTTTGATAATTCCCGAGAAAATAGTTTGTTTTAGCGATAACGTGAATGGGGCTAGATCACCATAACTTCTACCCTGATTCTATAGGCTGACAAATTCTACCCCCTTTGTTTCTTACACTTTGCTACCGATACTATTGGTTGAGTTGAGAGAGATTTATCAAAGATATGAATTCCAATTTATCGGAAATTTTAACAAGTCCAGCAGGGCGTCCATTCATGCAGATCTGTTCGGCCATGGCAAAATTTGTGCGTCTCAGGCGGTCGGGTGCATGCTTATTAGGGCCCCGCAAGGATTTGTGGGTGCCCTATAGTAATCACTCTGTCTGTCTGTCTGTGCGTCTGTCATTCTTTCGTCCACAAGTTTTCTGTTTTTTTCTAATCACTTTTTTTGTAATCGACCAATTAAGTTCAAATTTGGTATGTTGGTTGAAGAGGCAGTAAGACATATTTTGATGCTAAGTTTGGTTCTCTATGTCATCCAGTTTGGAGCTGGGGTGGTGGGGTAGATTCCTTAACTTTACATTAGAATGAATGCCAGGGCAAAGAGAGATAACTGCTGAGAATGTTCCTATTGACTATTGTAAACTATGAAAGCTGCAACTAGTCCCATGGGATTAATTAACTTTCCTCTTGAAGAAAATCCAAAGCATTATCTGTTTCTGTCAAATTGAGATTAATTAACACCTCTGTCTGCAAATGAAGTTTGTTTTGAAGTTAAGGTCAGTTCTGAATGATGTTTACATTCTCTGAAATGTGGATTTAAATAATGTTCATACTTTATTTTGATAAAATACACAATGATTTATGATTTTATTGAATTCTAAAAACAAGATATACATAAAGATATGGGTTTTTTTTAATTTTTTTTTAATTTATTTATTTTATTTATTTATTTATTCTTTTTTGTTGTTGTTGCCGTATGTAAATTCAAGAATACTATTAATTGTAACAGGTAGTCTGATAAAAAACTCATTCTATCATTACTGAAAAAGTTCTTATTGTAAACTTGGAAGAAAAGGATGAGAGAGCAGTACAATTAATCCCCTGGGATTAATTATTTTGTCTGGGGCAGGAAATTTTCCAGGCTTATCTTTATTTGTCACTTTAGGATGAATTAACCTTTGTCTGCAACTGATGTTTGTTTTGAAGTTAAGGTCAAGCCTGGGTGATATTTGCAATCACTGAAGGCTGGCATTTTATAGAACACATGCTTCATTCTTGTTTAAATGAGTTATTATAGATATGATGTTTTTTACTGCCTTATGTAAATACAGGGATACTCTTTACAGGCTGTTGGATATTTAGGAATTATCTTGAAATTTTATAAATACAGTTGTTATTGCATATTCTTCTTCATATATTTTTTAATTTTTGAAAATTCTCATTCTGTAAGCTGCACCCTTATATTTCTACCCCTCGGCGGGGCCCTTGCTGACTGGTCAGTTTTTAGTTTCAAACACTGGTATAGGGGTGCATGACAGGGGATAGTTAAGGGGATTGCACACTGCAGCATACAGAACAAATGAGCCCTAACTACAATATTCCCAGATTTTGAATGTGTAAAACTGGTGACCAACCCATACCAAGAAAATCTACATTTGAAGTGCATGACCTAAAATCCTTCATTTCTTATGTTTGATGTTGTAGGATGGGGGATGAGAAGGAGGCGGTACTGGGACAGCTACAGACAGAGAGGAGAGAGTACGAGAAACAGGTGCTACAAATGGTCAACCAACAGGAACAGATTCTACAGGAGAGAGAGGGTATCCTTTACGCAGGAAGAGAGGGGGTGTGACAGAAAGAGGGGAAGGGTCAGGAAATGTCTCAAAAATGGGGGAGGGGATAGACATGGGAGGGATAAAATTTCACTGAGAGGGGTAATAGGTTGGGAATACGGTAAGAATGGATTGGTGGTGGTGAGAAAATTTCAGGTACAGTCATCAAGAACTGTATTATTTTATTTCAATACATTTAACATTTGGATGGGGAAGATTAGCGAGAAGAAGAACTGACAATACAAACTTAACAACTTTATAACAGATATCCAGAGTAAGCTGTTCCAATGTCAGGAGTTGCTGAGTAGATACAAGGATCAGCTTCTGGAGAGAGAGGAACAACTTAACACATCTATTACAGAGATCGTCTATAAAAAGGTACAATACTTGTCAACATAAAGAGGGAATGCCATTGTATTTTGAAGGCTTTTAAAAACAAAAAGAATCTTTCCACTTAAGCATATTGCCGTGGCCCCTTTTTCGGACCCTTCTAACATCATCTAATTAACTCAAATCTTAATTATTTTACACCTTACCCATATTTTGTTATCTGTGTGGTACATTACTTGCGAAAATTTACATTGAAAACGGCGATTTAGTTTTATTAAAGGTAATTAAAAATGCCCACTAGTGTGTGTTAATTCCGGAATGTTGCGCTTGTCCGAGCAGGGTTTTAATTGTGTCTCATTAATATTCAGAGTAGGCGGGGCATTTCTTCGATCGATTGAAAACATGTAATAGCCTGGCTTCTGGGAACTACTCAGCATGATATAATAAAAAAAAGTATACACAAAAGTAAACACAAAGAGCATGTTTAAACTTCTCAAGAATTAAGCCAGTTTTTTTTTTTGTTTTTTTTTTTGAAAGAGGGGTGCGGGAGAGGATCTTGAAGATGTACATGTATTCCCTCCCTAAATCCAGATTCTTTCCCAATTTTTGGTAGGTTCTGGTAGATCCTTGAAGTCGTTTAGTAAATAAACAAAATCTAGCAGCTTACTTAAAAAACAACAGGTGAATGACAGGTTACTTTTGTTCCAAAAATATTTTTTATTTTAAATAGGTTAAGTTGCGATCGCAATTTAAGAAAGGTACATGGCGTATACATGGAAAATCAACACTAAATAATCCAGACCTACTTGTACATGTAAACATGTTAATGAAAAAAAATAATATAAAAGAAAAACAACTTCTTCTGTATTTTCAAAAAGATTAGTGCCGTATCGAAATTTTAAAATAATAATACTCTCTCTCTCTCTCTCCGTACTTAAGCACAGTAAATACTGGTGTACGGATAACAAAACAAAACATTTTTTTGTGATGCTGTAGTGATATTTAATCACTAAAACAATTTTATTAATTGTATGCGTGCTTGTTTGTTTTGTATTGTTATTTTTTTTTGTCCAAGTAAGCTTTCCAGTGTTAAACAATCTATACGTACGTCTACCCCGTGTATCTATATTTTTACAATCAAAAACATTTTGAGGAATGATGCTATTGCTAAGATGTAGACTATGTCTTGGAAACTCATTGAGCCCCCAAGCGAACCCCTAAATCCAAGGACTAAAACTAAAATATCATTACATTTTGCCCGATTTAAAATTCCATTACCCTCATTTGTCAAATACTAGTTAAGAATGGTAGCATCATTATTTTTTCTGTCTTCAAATGTGGACCTAATACCTGAACAATATTAATTTCCATTAGATGCCACTATTATCATCGCTTCATGGCCGTAGGAACCGGGGGGTCACGGAGCCCCCCCCCCCCCTTCGATAATTTTGCCGATATATAGAACACTATAGAAAACATAGCTACCATACACTTGTGCCCCTTCAATAATTACGTCAGATACCCCCCCCCCCCCTTTTTTTTTTGCTTGTCAAGGAATTTTTGGTAGTTGATAATTTATGCCCCCTTTGTATATATTGAACTCTTTTGAAATCAATACAGATGTATGTTTTATTTTAAAGAATATTTTGTTAAGAAAAGTAAACAGAATTTAGTAGAAGGGTCAGCCTATTTTAGCCCTCTCCCTACATCAAGGTCAACGTAAATCCATAATTGATATAAAATAAATAAAGCAAAAATGTAGAAAATGTACCAAAAAGAAGGGGTGGGGAGAACAATAAAAAAAATACTAGTAAGCAAAATTACAGAGAAAAATAAGCAAAATTACAGAAAAAATACCGGTTTGGAAATATTCAAAAATGTAAAATTTACTTACAAAATAATGAATATTTTAGCAAAATTTGGCACTATTAAAAATACTGGGCAGAAAAAAATAATTTGATGTTGATCAATTGAAAATGTAACGGTCTGAATTGCTAATCGGAGCTAAAGCCACCTGCTTTATTGATTTTTTTTAGTATTCACAATGTTACCCGAGTCTACAAATCACGTGATAAATTGGAACATTTAACAGGTCATAATGAGGTCAATAACATGTAAATACCCGTGAATAGTGAAGGAACGGTCGGTGTTTTGTACCCTTTTTCAAAAAGTTTACCCCGAGCGCAGGCTTGCCCAAAATTCTCCTTTAAATATGACGAATTTCCAACAGTTATACACCTTCTGTCCTTTTGAGAAATTTGGGCAAGAATGCGCTCACCATGTATTACAGCTTTAAAAATTGGAATAACTTTGAATATTAATGGAAATTCATGAATTGCAGTGACCCCTCTTACAAAACACACCTTCGTTCTTTATTTTTATGGACTTTTAATTCCTGTAATTTCGCAAAGTTGCGATTTAGACATAGAAGAATCGCATTATTCATCTCATGGGGCTATTTTCTATACTTTATTTTTGGGCAATTTACCGGGGGCCACGTTTTGTACACTAAGTGCAATCATTCTTTCCATTCACAGTTAAAAAAAAAGAAATCTATTCTTGCCGTTTTGAGGAAGTCAGCCACTTAAATTAACTGATAATTTTTTGAAATTTTAAGAATTATGTGCAATATAATGAAGTCAAAGTTTGAGTAGGAGTTTAATATACTTTACAGGAATCCCAGCGCAGAGGAACTGCTGACGAAGAAGAGGATTATGAACATTATAGAAGACAGAGTCATAAACAGAGAGGAAATAAAGAAAACATAGAAAAAGGAAGGAACGAACTCCATCAGAAGTACATTGAAGTAGAAACAACCAAGGACCGCCTCCGTCGACCTTTCACCTCTATGATTGATAAGGAAATAGCTAAAAGGAAACAAAATGAAGATGGAGGACTCAGTACCATTGTGGCTTCAGAGTCCTCCACAACAACTCCACCCAGGCATCAAGGGGGAAGGATTGATTATAGTGACCGGATACCAGTCATACAAGCTTTTCGGGAACCAGTTATGTCTAGTACACAGAAGAGTGCTGATATTAGAGCTTATGTTGAGGAGGATTCACCAAGAGATGAGTTTCAGCGTCTGGAGCCCGATATGAGTCCAAGGTCATCCAGAGCCTCATTTCCATCTGGCTCTCCAAAAGGTCAAAGGTCATCCTCGCCTATAAGTCAGTCTGGGAAATCAAATAAGGTGGGATTTAAGGAAAAACTTACTGTAGATAATGATGAATTACAGAAACATTCTCCACAGCTTGGATCTGGAAACAAGGAGTTTCTTCAAAAGTATAAGAAACTTAGTTCAACTGAACGCAAGCATGAACTCTTGAAACAGCGGGAAGCTTTACTTGAAGAACAGAAGAGACTCAGGAAGGTGTTAATGGAGCAAGAGGCACAGCTAAAGAGAAAGCAGGATATCATAGAGAAACGTCGCTCAACTCAGCAAGCCAGAATGGATTATCTGGAGAAAAATGGGGAATTCCCTGACAAAGATGACAATGAAGGGAGTGTGTTTAATGTGCCTGACAGTGGAAGTGTGTGTGAAGGTCGTGTTGATAAACTTAACCTTGATAGGTGTTTGAGTGAGGAAGACATTTTTAACCTTGAGGATAAAGAAGAAATACGTAGAGAAGCTGCAAACAAAGGTCAGAAATGAAAACAAATATATCTGCATGCATTTCAAGAATTTTCAATGTGTTGTTGTCATATTTAGAAATACAGTTGAACTTTGGTATTTCGAACATAACGTGGATATGTCAAAGTGATTGGGAAATCTCATTCACTTATTCTTGAAGTATTTTACCCTCAATATCTTGAATTGTTGGATATTTTGAAGTTTTTTTTCATCATCATTAAGTTCGGGACAAGGTTCTACTGTAAATATCTGCATGCATTTTTCAGGAATGTGCCAATGTCACATTTAGAAATGCATGATTTGGCTACAAACATAATACATAAAAATTACTTGTAGTAAAGTTGGATATTTATTACCACTGTACATTTACAAAAAATTATCTCTCTTCTAGGTGCTTCAACTGATTTTCCCTTAAGAGAACCCACTGCAATCTCAAAAATTCAGGAAATTAAAACACTTGGTCCAAAAAATTATCCTAAGTCAAACACACAAGAGAAATACACTAGAGCTACTTCACCGCTAAAGCTTGAAAGTGAAGATACTGGATCCACACCTTCTACTCCGAGGCTGATCGATGCTGCCACCAGTTATTCCAGAAGATTGGATCATTCCATAGAGAGGGTGGCAGAGGATCCTGTTACCACCCCTACCAGGAGAATGGATGCTGCTACGAGCTACTCTTGTAGAAGTCCTCGGTAATTTTATCATTTTATATTCAAAGTCAGTTATTTTTATGATGTGTCCAATTCACATTTTCATGATTTTTTTAATCCCTGATGTTTCTGTTCTCCTTCACAGTCATCCCTGCTAGATTTATTCTATAAGTCACCATTGTTAAAACTTTTAGTTTGACTCTTGTATTGTTTTATCTCTTGAAAAATGAAATGTCTATAATAAAGATTTTAATTATAAAGCAAAAATCAAAGATTTTTCTTTCTTTCCAGCTCTCCTGTACCAAATGAAGATTTCATAGATTTACCAAGACAGAATAATCTTCCCTTACAGACAAACCGCCAAAGGGCGTGTAAGACGTCTAGTCCAAGATTACCCTCAACACCAGGGTAAAGATTTATAACTTTAAAGTATTTCAGTTTTTATTTTCTTTAAATTTTGACTACCTTCCTTTGACTAAGTTTGTTTGAAACTTTCCTGTCTTACTAGAGTAGGGATGTCAAACATTTCTTTGTTGAAATAATGTTGTAGACATCCTTATGTGTGTACAATGTAAATGTTGAAGGATCTTTACTTATCTGTAGTGTGTTTTAACAAAAGATTCTTTAAAAAAATAATGTATGATACTACACAGATATAGAAAACACTCTTGTAATGAATTCACACTTGCAGTGAAGTGATTTTCATTCCCCATGGTTCTAAAATGTAGACGGATATATCAAATTATGTTTATAATGAGTCAAAGTTGTTCTTCCCTGGAACTTCACTCTAAGCCTGTTTTACTGTATGTCTCTGCATATCTAAACGTTCAAAGATAATTTAAATAAACATTGCTGTTGTCTGTTCTTATGTCACTTCTTGGTTATAGTAAAAGTGTGTCTTTTATGATTTTTTAAAGGAAATTATTAACAATTTTCATTTTCTTTTTTATTCAGAGAGAAGACATTATCAGTTGTAGAAATAGTCAATTCCTTAGAAGAAGAATCTCCGGCCCACCCCTCACATCTCATTAGATCCTCCATTCAAAGGGACATCACTCCTACCACGACCAAATCTATCCCTGTGGGGGGAACAGCAAAGATTTTATCAACTGGAGGCATGAGGCTCCCTAAGAATGCCCCCTTTGGGGCCCCGCCTGTTAAAGACCAGTTTTGTGAGGAGTTGGCAGAGGAAACAGCAGAAGAGAGTTCTCTTTTAGAGGACATTTTCTTCTTGTGAATTGTTTCATTCATTTAGCAGAAAAAAACTTTATGTGATATTATGATGTAGATTAATATTTATTTTCTTTACTAGCTGATATTTAATTGGAAAGTCAAGGATTGAAATTGGGGTATTTAGTGTACATAAGTAAATGCACAATTCTTTGCATTTTAATTCTTTTTTTTTTTTATGCAGTAGTTATGTAAAAAAAAATTTTGGTTGTTGCTGAGATACACAGGAAATCTGTCAAATTTAATTGAAGCATTAAAAAACCCACTCTCCATTTTGTTACTTTCAGTAATGTTTTGACATTTAATATTTAGTGAATTGTTGATAGATACATGTACATGATGTATAAACTGATTTGTACACTGTGAATTACTTCTTATTATGAAATATCTATTTTTGCAAAATTGTTTGAGACAGTCTGCTCAAGAAAAATACATTTTTGGATATTATGTATCAGGGGTGTGCAATTACAAAAATTAGTTACTAGCCCGTCGGGCTAGTGGCAGTAACAAAGTTACTAGCCTGAGGTTGCCAGTCACTAGCCCATTAACTACCGAAAACAATACATGTATAAGTATAACAAAAAGGTTAAAAAAAAAACCATTTAAGTTGAAATAAATAAAACAAATAATGGTTTGCGCTTTGTTATTGTCAGGTACTTCTCGCTATTTTTATCGACTATAATTGTCACTGAAACGACTGGCGATAGCAACACACAAAACATATAAGTTAAAACGAATCAAAGATTATGATTTTACAACAAAGTTAATTCGTACATCAATTCAGTCGACGTAAATATACTTATTCTTTCATTTTAGATTTACTAGCCCGATGGGCTAACGCAGTATAGATTTATGATAGCCCGACCTCTAAAATTGGTAGCCCCGGGCGTCGGGCGATGGTAATTGCACACCCCTGTGTATCAAAGATTTTATACAATAATAACAAATTTTGTAAAATTTTCTTTCACTTATACCAAACAACTATCACATGAAAACAAAGTTTCACAAAAATTAGGCGATCCACAACACTTGTACGTTGCATTTTTTTTTTACATGATTAACAACTTACTGTTATAATTTATTATAAAAAGTTATAAATAAATATACATCATGATATATCTTAATAAAAGCATTCTGAAAAGATTTAGTTTTGGGATGATAAGTTCCAAATAACAAAGTTTTTGAAAATCTTTTTTTTTTTTATTGCTCAAGAAGTTTAGTAGGAGGCTATATTAAATATGACATGGTAAATAGTAGAAGGTGTATGGTGGATACGGTTGAAATTTTTAAATTGAAGATAGAGTAAGTGTAGATAGTTTAGAAATGGTAAATTGTTGGTACTGTTGAAGTGGTGAATTAGATACCATAAGACATGGTGAATAGATTAGATATTCTATCTAGACTTGATGACTTTGTTAGTTCTATAGGATGTCATTTGAATTATAGATTCTTTAAATATGGTCTAGTTGTTGATATTTTGGGCATGGTGTTTTGTAGAGTTTAGGCATTATGGATACTGTGAGCATGGACTTTTGTAGAAACATGATTGTGCGATAGATATGGTGAATTTGTAGATACATTGTTTTAAAAACCCGTTCCTGGATAAAGCACGTTATTTACAGTCTTGTATTACTATGTACAAAGTAATTACTTTTGAAACCTGAAATATACTTTCAATTGAAAAATCAAACCATTTACCATAATCTTATTAGAATTTCACCTTGACCGTATTAATGAAGATTTTCTATGTTGAGATTTGTCTATTGCTACCTCTTTGGAACTTTGAATGTACCAGGTTAAAATTTCTATATTTTACCTAGTACACAGAAGCTCTAATTCGCCATGTTGATGGCATCATATCTACAATTTGCAGTGATCGCAGTGAATACAATTCATCATCACCAAATTTTCTTCAATTCACCATGGTCAAATTATTTATTATTTACCGTGTTCATATTACCAACGTGTTCACTTATGACAAATGAATGTACCCTTTCAGTAGAGGTCCCGAGTGACAGATATGGACATTTTTGAGTTAGGCCCTGTGATGATGAAGTATTGGAAACAACTTGGACTTGGTAATTGTTGAATTGTAAATACATTTTGCAAGTAATAAATTGAAGACACTTCAATTTATTAATATGTAAAATTCAAAAAACACATGTATTTTTTGTTGCTCTTTCAATCATTTCTTGCAGCCAAATACACATGTATATGAAGTTATATTTTGAATGCTCTCTCAGTCATTTATTGTGTCGCCTGCATGGCACAGTGGTTGGAGCGTTTGCTCTCTAGTCGCGGAGTAAGGAGTTGATCCTTAAGTCGTGGGTTTGAATCCCACTGTGGGATGTTGAGACAGGTCTTTCGGATGAGACCGTATAAACAGAGGTCCCGTGTCGCAGTAGGTGCTAGCACGAAAAAGAGCCCTCACTGCTAAATGGCCCTGGGTGCCGGGTATAGGTCAAAATTTGCAGCTCTCCACTGGCAAGTGGTGGCGTCTCCATTTGAGTGAAAAATTCTCGATAGGAATGTTAAACAACAAACAGATGATGAATCTTTTTTAATATTTCTACTATTTCTCTGATAATGATACTAAAGATATCGAAAAATGACAAGTGTCTAATTGAAGACATTTTTATTTTTTATTAAGCTTGATTGGTTTTATTGAAATAATATTTTAGTGCTAAAACTTTATTACATAGTTTATAAATTTCAGCCTGTGTCGTGCACACTATTTGGACCGTTAGCGGTTTTTACAACAAAGCATTAAAACCGAACTACTCTGGCTTGAATTTTCATAGTATATATTTTGGTTTACAATATGTACATGTTTATATTAAGGCACATCAGAATTGACTGAAACGCCACAGTCAACGAACTTTTTGGATAGCTTCCGTAATTAATAATCTTAACCAATACATGAAATTTCCATAATTAATTCACAAAGAATGAGGACGGTTTTGATTGACATTCGGCAGGAATAGCGGCGAACTTGTATACTGAAAACTTATTGAACTGTCAAAAAAAAATATAAACATTCGTTTGATGTATCATGTTCTTATGAAATGGGAAAAGGATATTAGATATTTCCCCAACAATGATTTGTTTTGATTTCATTTAAAATAACTTGAAACATGGCTAGGTGAGTCATTTGGTACAAAATGTTTACATTTTTTAAACACTTTTTTTTTAATTTGCTATCTCTGGGTCATTTCTCCATGATTTAAAAAAAAAAAATATTTGTGTGCATTTTAATTCCAAAGAACGAGCAAACATTTAAAAAAAAATCGAGAGAATACCCAGAGTCCATAAGAAATGAACAAATTTAAAAGAAAAAATCCCATTGTGTAAATGCGTTGCTTGTTTGTCATTTTAAATTCCATAATGTTTGTGAGGCGGTGATAGCTCAGTACATGTAGTATGCGTTACTTGTCCAATGCAATTAAGTGTCAAGATTTTTTTTTGTTCCATCCTTACATAAAGCATATATTTATTTTCACAAACAACAAGTCGTTTATCAGTTTAATTTTATTTACTGATTCATTAGAGTTTAAAAATAGATACATTTTGGTTCAGTGTCACAGGGAGCGAAACCAATTTTTTAAACCTACTGAAACTTCATTGCATTTATCATCCATATCCTTTATATCTTGTTAGGTGTTTATTATTTACGTGACGTGTTAGTACAATGTATGTTATCTTAACTATTAACATAAGTGAATTTAAATAGCTATTTTTTCATGTGCCTAACTTTGTAAGGTCTGTCCTGCTGTATAGTCAGCGACATTTAAACCATAAATGTTTCGTACATGTGATTCCTGCAGATAGCACGCCAAGTACGCCCATCTTCTTCACGGATTTGTAAAAAAAAAAAGAAATCTGTTTGAAAAAATGCATAACAGGATGGCTCTGCCTTTCGTAAGTTTACATTAAGTGTGTCTCTAATACAAACCTAAACATACAATATTTCAGCCTCAGCATTAAAGATAAATTCGTGTTGATTTCTACATGTATAAAACTTCTTACATTAATTTATATACAAATGTTCATTTATACGTATAGTGTCATCAAATGGTAAACGAAAAGCCCACATTTTTTCTGCATATGTGATAAGATGAATGAAAAAAAAAATAAAATGCGTTTCGAAAGCAAGAACTCGGCATCATTTAAATACATACTCCACTTAAATAGTTTAATAAGATGTTTTAGATAATACGCTTCACTTGATTTTGGAGAAAATATCTCACACGGTGGAAGTCATCATCGCTTCCAAATTCAACCACCACAGGCGCAATACATTTTAGTTTAATGTCTGTTATTAGTTCTTTTCCCTCTTCCAGAGAGCAAAATGCTTGTGGATCATATGAGAATAAACCAGAGTACTCAATTTTCTTTGCACAAAACTTTTTACCGCTTTCGAGCGTCTCTTCAAGAGAGAGATCGGATTCTCCGGGACGTACTCCCGCGTCCCACAATGTCGTCACTAGTTCCGGTCTACCAAGGTACACTGCCACGTGTAATGTTGTGGGGAGCTCAGTGTTGTTATGTTGAAAAACAAAATCTTTGTTATATCCCAGAAGGAGATCAAGAATGTTGCTATAATTATGAATTACTAAGTAATGTCCGATGCTGTTTTCGAACTTATCAATTTTCCTGAGTAGTTCACTGCAAAAACAATCTGCTTTAATCTTTAGTAAAATACAGATAACATTTTTAAAGTCTTCACTTCCAGGAAATAAAACACGGTATGTCTCTGAGATGCCATAAAGAAAGTTTTCATTCACTTTGTACGACCAAGTTTCAACCACTCTACATCCATACCTGAGCCCTAGCAATGTGGTATAGGCCACAGAGTACTCTTCAACTGTTCTTTTAGTTAAATTGTGCCCCATATTTAGAAACTTCTGTAACAAGGACGGCCGTCCCGTATGTGCAGTAATGTGAGCACATGTCCAGTTGTTTGTTGTATTTGATGGTTTTTGGATCTCTAAAATTATATCTACGATGTCCTCCCATCCATATAAAACACAGCAATGAAGCGGTGTTTCATTGTTATTGCCATATAGATTAAACATATTAGTAGAAGAAAATAAAGAAAAAGGTTTTGCAACGTAAAGCGAGTCCAGAAGGTCATGTGAATCTTGATGTGCTTTGATGTACTGAACAACTGTCATTACAATGGCTTTATTTTTGTAATCAAAGAGAAACCTTGACAAAAAATTAGCAAGAAGGTCACGTGAAATTAAAAACGGTGTCGCAGACCTTTGCTGAATAACATTTACTAGCTCATTGAAAGGAAAGTTGGGAACAGATAATTGTGTCTCTATTAAAGCAAGCGTATTGATACTGCTCAAAATCTCGAAAGGC